GATTGTCTGCAGGACGGACACCATCTTGGATCCGACGACGACCGGGTCGATTGTCTGATGCGGCTTGGCGGCGTGGCCACCTTTGCCCGTAATCGTAATCCGGAACTCATCGGTCGCTGCCATGATCGGACCCTTGCGGATCGCGAATTCACCGACGCGAATTCACCGACCGGCATGCCCGGATAGTTGTGCATGCCGTAGACGTCATCAATCGGCCAGCGGGTCATCAAGCCGTCGTCGATCATCGCCTTTGCCCCGGCGCCACCTTCTTCAGCGGGTTGAAAGATCACCACAACCGTGCCGTCGAAATTGCGTGTCTCCGAAAGGTACTTGGCCGCGCCGAGCAACATCGCCGTGTGGCCGTCATGGCCACAGGCGTGCATCTTGCCAGGGATTTTCGAGGCATATGGCTTCTGTGTCGCTTCCTCGATCGGAAGCGCATCCATATCGGCGCGCAGTCCGACGGTCCTGCCTGTGCCGCCGTTGCGGCCCTTGATCACGCCCACGACACCCGTCTTGCCGATGCCCGTCGTGACTTCGTCGACACCGAAACTTTCCAGCAACTCCGCGACCTTTTCGGCTGTGCGGACGGTTTCATAGAGAATTTCCGGATTTTCGTGAAAGTCGCGGCGCCAGACCGTGATCTCGTCAGCCAGATCAGCAAGGCGGTTAACGATGGGCATAAAGAACTCCTAGAAACACTTCCAATCGGTGGGGCAGTTTGTTCGCCAGAGCGGCTAACCTATCGCAAGCGGCGCAAAGAGGAAGTCCCGCCAGGCAAAAACTTTTGTGTATCCGTCCACTTCGCAAGATCTTCCCGAAAACTCACGATTTAGCGGATCAATTTTTCCCAAACCGGAACACGCGGGTTTTTTTGATCTCACTGTCTTCCAGAGCACCGACAACCGGAACACGATACGCTGCCAGTTCCTCGAGACGATCGATCGGCACATAGGATCTGCCGGGATCTCCGACCAGCACGTCGATGCCGGCGTCGACGAGCCTGTCCAGAAACGGCAGAATCCTGTCGGACATCTGCTTGTCGTAAAAGACGTCACCGCAAAAGACGATCTGTGCGACCGGAAGCGGAAAAGCCGTAATGTCACCGATTTCGAAGCTGAGTTCGACGCCGTTCAATTCAGCATTCAGTTCAGTTGCCGCAAGTGCGAAGGAATCGATATCCACGGCATGGCAGGACCGGGCGCCGGACATCATTGCCGCAATGCCAACCAGGCCTGAGCCGCATGCAAAGTCGAGCACCCGTTTTCCAGCGACCAGCGACGGGTTGTCCAGGACATACCTGGCCAGACCCTGACCGCCCGCCCAGGCAAATGCCCAGAACGGTGGCGCGAGACCGAGTTCACCCAGTTCATCTTCCGTCTTTTGCCACAGTTCCATGGCTTCGTCGGCGACATGGAGGCTGATTTCCTCAGCATGAGGAACCGGTCTGATGCGGGTCTCGCGGCGGATGAAGTCAGTCGGATCATCGATGATCGGCATGGACTAGGCCGGTTCTTTCAGGCCGCCCATATCGCAGACAATTTTCCATTCTTCTTCGGTCACGGGCTGTACGGAAAGGCGCGTATTGGCCACACGGGCCATCTTTTCAAGTTGCTCTTCAGCCTTCACGTCAACAAGGGTGACGGGTTTCGGCATGTCGCAGACAGCCTTGAAGTCCACGCATTCCCAACGGGGATCGTCCGTTGTCGTGTCAGGATGAATGTCGCTGCACACTTCGACGACACCGACAACTTCCTTGCCGATATTTGAATGATAGAAGAATGCCCTGTCGCCGATTTTCATGGCACGCATGTTGTTGCGCGCCTGATAATTCCTGATGCCGTCCCATTGTTCGCCGACATCACCCTTGGCTTTCTGCTGTTCCCAGGACCATTTGTCCGGCTCGGATTTAATCAGCCAGTACTGCACTTATGAGACCTCCGGATTCTTGACCACCCAGTTCCATGGGCGAATTTCAACGCTTTCGAAAAGGCCGACCCTGGCATAGGGATCTTCCTCGGCTATGGCCAGTGCCTCGTTCCGGTTGGCCGCTTCAATCACGACCAGGGAACCGGTCATGTTGCCGTCGTCGTCCAAAAACGGGCCTGCGGCCTTCAGCCCGGCACCGAGTCCCTTGAGAATGGCGATGTGATCATCGCGGGTGTCCAGGCGCGTTTGAAGCGCACCGGGCTTGTCGGTGCAGATCAAGGCATAGAGCATGATGTGGAATCCCTGGTTGACGGAGTTTGTCCGAACCTAGGGCCGAGTTGACACAATCTCAATGCCGGATTGAGACGTTCAAAGACTTTCCGTTTCCGCTTTCAGCGGACGTGCCATCAAGGTGTTGAGCGCATCGTCGATCGAAAGATCGGCGTCTATCATCTGGGCAACCGTCTCGCAGATCGGCACCTCAATGTCGTGTTTTTGCGCAAGCTTGACCGCGACCCTGGCGGAATAGGCGCCTTCGGCGAGTTTGCCTCCGGCGGAGATCAGTTCCGACGCCATGAAACCCTCACCAAGTCGGAGGCCGAAGGAAAAATTGCGGGACTGGGTGGAGGAGCAGGTCAGGACAAGGTCACCAAGGCCGGAAAGGCCTGTCAGCGTCTCGCTCTGGGCTCCCATGGCAGTTCCAAGCCGTGTCAGCTCGGCAAAGCCGCGAGCGGTCAGTGCAGCCTGGGCGCTGGCGCCGAGCTTGCGGCCCACGACGGCTCCACAGGCGATGGCCAGAACATTCTTCAATGCACCGCCGATCTGAGCTCCAAGCACATCGATCGACGCATAGGGCCGGAAACATGTTGACTGCAGCGCTTCACACAGGCTGAGGGCTGTCTTGGCCGAGTTTGCCGCAACCGTAACGGCGGTCGGCAGCCCACGTGCAACATCGTCGGCAAAGCTCGGACCGGACAAGACTCCCGGCTCGACCCCCGGCAGTTCCTCGCTCAGGATCCGGGACAAGAGTTTCCCTGATGTCTGTTCGATGCCCTTGGCGCACAACACTACCGGGCCGCGAACCGTGCCGGTCTCCTTCAAAGCGGCGAGCAGGGAGCGGGTGGTCTGCGCGGGCGTAACGAGCAGGATCGCGTCGGCGTCCGCAATTTCACGCAGCGATGAGGTTGCGGTCAGGTCCTCGTCAAAGGTAATGCCGGGCAGATAGCGCTGGTTCTGCTTCCGGGAGCGAATGTTGGAGACCGTTTCGGTGTCCCTTGCCCAAAGCCGAACCTCGCGTCCGGCGCGCGCGGCCGTCAGGGCAAGGGCCGTGTCCCAGGCACCCCCTCCGACAACGCCTACTGTCCTAATGGCGCCCATTGTTCTGCCCTTCCATGCGCGACCGTAGTGTCTCAAGCTGCACTCCAAAACCTTCAAAGAACCGGGTCTCGCTCGGCGGGCCATCTGCGAACAAGTCGATCCAGAACAGGCGGAACCGGATAGGCGGACCGCCCGCGCTTGGCGAAGATTCGAAGTGTTCCCATTCCGCGGCAGGCTTCTCCGGTATTCGGCCGTGAAAATGCCGCCGCCGATGCAGGCCGTCGAGACAATCGGGAACATTTTCGAGGATCCGATCCTGATCCGCGAACGATTCGAGCGCGATATCCAACGAAAGTCCGGTTTCTTCGCAAAACTCGCGTCTGGCGGCCTGAAGGTAGCTCTCACCCGGGTCCAGGGTGCCGCCCGGAACCTGCAACCCGACTTCCGGATAATCGGGCTCCGAAAACACAAGAAGCTCACTGCCGCAAGTCAGGTAAACATATGCCTTGTGATAGACGCGCATGCTGCCGAATTCCTTTGCTGGAGGGCATTGCTTCCTATCAGGGTCCCTGCACGGGCAAAAGGGCAAGTTTGTGATCGCAGCGTCAAATCCGCAGTGATGAAGAAAGATACCGACGCTCTTGTGCGAACGGCAAAGTCCTTTCAGACCTTCGCGCCTTTCTTGCCTGCGCCCAGTATGCCGGCATTTTCCGAATCAAGCGGCCAGCGCGGGCGTGGGGGGAGGCTCATGTCGTTCACCGGCCCGAGTTGCATGCGCTCGATCCCGGCCCAGGCAATCATGGCGGCATTGTCGGTGCAAAGGTTCATGGGAGGGGCGACAAATCGGACGCCGGCTTCAGCGGCAGCGTGCGTGAGGGCGTTCCTGATTTCCTGATTGGCAGCCACACCTCCGGCAACCACTATCACCGGTTCGCTTTGCGGATGCCGCTCCCGGAACAGGTTCAGGGCCGTTCCTGTCCTGGTCGCAAGAACATCCGATACTGCGCGTTGAAAGCCGGCGCAAAGATCCGCGATGGTCTGGTCGTCGACCGGTTCCAGTTTTTTCGCCTGGGTCCGCAGAGCGGTTTTCAACCCGGCAAAGGACATGTCAAGACCGGGTCGATCCAGTAATGGACGGGGTAGTCTGAAGCGGCGGACATCACCTTTTGCCGCCATCTTTTCGACATGCGGTCCGCCTGGATAGGGCAGCCCGAGCAGCTTGGCGGTCTTGTCGAAGGCCTCGCCGATCGCATCGTCGATGGTTGTGCCGAGGCGTTCATAATCTCCGACGCCGCGCACCATCAGAAACTGGCTATGGCCACCGGAGACCAGAAGCAGGAGAAACGGAAAATCCAGGTCATCCGTCAAGCGGGCAGTCAGCGCATGCCCTTCCAGATGATTGACGCCTATCAGCGGTTTGTCTGCCGCCATGGCGATTGCCTTGGCCGTCATGAAGCCCACGATCACACCGCCGATCAGACCTGGGCCGGCCGTTGCTGCGACAGCATCGATATCATCCCAGGAACAGCCGGAGTCGTTCATGGCTTCAGCGACGATGCGGTCAAGTACTTCGATATGGGCACGCGCGGCGATCTCGGGAACGACACCGCCGAATTCGGTATGCTCGTCGATCTGGGATCGGATGGTGTTGGAGAGGATTTCCCGTTGAACAGGACCGCGCACGACGGCGGCAGCAGTCTCGTCGCAACTGGTTTCAATGCCCAGGACAGTCAGATTGGTCGCATTGTCTTTTGAATTGACTGAAGTCATTGGTTTTGCAATCGCGGCCTGTAATAGGTCATAAGACTGTTAAACTCATCGCATGTCCGGCATTTTCCTGCCGGGCGTAACATCTGGACGGTAAACCTTGCAATCAAATCCTTTGCGTATCGGAACAAGGGGCAGTGCGCTGGCACTGGCGCAGGCCTACGAGACCCGTGACCGGCTCATGGCGGCGCACGGTCTTTCGGAAGAGGCGTTTGAAATCGAGGTCATCAAGACCTCCGGCGACCGCATTCAGGACAGACCGCTGTCCGAAGTTGGCGGCAAGGGTCTTTTCACCAAGGAAATCGAGGAAGCGCTGCTCGACGGGCGTATTGATATCGCCGTTCATTCTTCCAAGGATATGCCAACAATTCTGCCGGACGGTCTTGCGCTGACGGCTTTTCTGCCGCGAGAAGACGTTCGCGACGCTTTCCTGTCTCCAAAGGCCGGTTCGCTTGCCGAGTTGCCGCAAAACGCGGTGGTCGGCTCCAGTTCGCTGCGCCGCCAGGCCATGATCAAGCGGCTGAGACCGGATATTGAAGTCGTGATGTATCGCGGCAACCTGCAGACAAGGCTGCGAAAACTGGCCGAAGGCGCCGTCGATGCGACACTTCTTGCCGCGGCGGGCCTCAACCGGCTGGGTCTTGAAGGGGAGATCACCAGTCTGCTTGACACCGATCCATTTCTTCCTGCGGTCGGTCAGGGGGCAATCTGCATCGAAAGCCGCGAAGGTGACGCTGCCACGCTTGACAGGCTTGCGGCGATCCACGACCAGTTGACCCAGACCCGGCTTGATGCCGAACGGGCATTTCTTGCCGTTCTCGATGGTTCCTGCCGGACACCGATCGGCGGCCTTGCAACGCTTGATGGCGACCAGCTGCACTTCAAGGGAATCGTCCTGAAACCCGACGGAAGCGAAGCACACGAGGCCGAGGCAACTGGAGCTGCGGAAAATGCGGCAAAGATCGGTGTTGGTGTCGGCGAAACGCTGAAGATGCGGATGGGACCCGGATTTCTGTCGGAGCACTGACCTGATGCGCTTTCTGGTGACACGGCCGCAACCCGACTGCAAGCGAACAGCCGACAAGATCAGGGCCGCCGGTCACCATGCAGATGAAGCTCCGCTCCTGAATTTTCGAGCAGAACCACCCGCGCAGTTTGACCTTGACGGCGTTGCGGCACTGGCATTTTCAAGCCGCCGCGCCCTTTCAACGCTCGAACGACATGCGCAACTGCGTGATCTTCAGGATCTTCCCGTATTTGCGGTGGGAGATGCGACGGCTGATGCCTGCCGGAGGGCCGGGTACCGCGATGTTGTATCCGCTTCAGGTGACGTTGAAGCGCTTGGACATCTGATTCTCGGCAGTCGCGACAGGCTGGGTCTGGGAGATGTGCTTTATCCCGCGGCAAAGGAGCGCGCAGGAAACCTGGAAGGCATTCTGGCGGAAGGAGGCCTGTGCTGCCGGGTATCCGTTGTTTACAGCATGCAGGAGGTGACGGCATTTCCCCAGTCCTTCAACGAAACGCTTCGGAGCGGGGGCTATGACGGGGTGCTTGTCTATTCAAGACGCACGGCAGACGTGTTGCTGCGCTTGCTCAGAAACCAGGAGCCGGATCACAATTTCTCCAGTTTGCGGATTTACACGATCTCGCATCGGGCGGCAGAGCCACTATCTGTTTATATGAGGGTAGAAGTGGCTGACGCCCCATGCGAAAAAGCACTATTGGATCTGGCCTTAGCAGAGTGTTAACCAGATCCGGTGGAGTCGTTGTTTTGCAGCGCGACAAAGAAATGCCGCACCGGTACCGCTTCGCCAAGAGGTGTGTATAGTAAGTGACCGGAAGGTTCAGGAGGAGAGTAGATGGCGACGGACAAGAAATCTTCTGGCGGAACGTCCTCTTCAGGTGGAAACGGCAGCGGCGCTTCGGACAAGCCGGGCAGCGGTACGACGCCGGCGAGTGGTTCGGGAACCGGTTCCAAACGGCCGGTGACAATCGATCTGAAGGCTGAAAAGGTGGACGAAAAGCTTGGTAGCCCTGGTGCTTCGAGTGCGTCGACAAGCGTTCCCAAGGCCGGAGCGACGCCGGCAGCAGACAAGAAACCAGCGGACGCGAAGCCTTCCGGCTCCGGTCCCGCCTCCTCCAGACCGGGTGCCTCGACGGCGAGTTCAGCGTCTGGCGTCAAGCACGATTCAACACCTCGTTCAGCGGCATCAGCCGGTTCTTCCTCACCGTCTGGAACATCAAGCGCAGGTTCCGCGAAACCAACCGGGACGACCGCATCTGCGACGTCAACGTCCTCTGCTTCCACCAAGCCTGCTTCGACAGGTGGCGCTTCCGCCGCGGCGAGTACTGCGAAACCCGCGTCGACCGGAGCCTCGGCGAAGTCTTCAGGATCTTCGAGTTTTTCAAGTCCTCCACCGACAGATGATCGCGGCGGTGTCGGCGCGTTCGGGGTTCTCATAGCAGCTGTGATCGGCGGGATTATTGTGCTGGGCGGGGGCTTTGGTCTGCACCAGGCCGGAATTCTCAAACTTACGCCGGAGCAGGATCAGCAGCTTGCAAGCGCTCTTTCGGCAGCTGAAGGAAAAATTTCCGAACTGGAACAAAAACTCGGTGATGTCAGTTCGTCTGCGCAAGGTCAGGACGCCAGTGCGGCGGTAAGCGCGCTCGAGAGCAAGGTATCTTCGCTTGAAAGCGACCTGCAGAACGCCGTTTCGTCGGCATCTGCGGATGTCTCGCCCGCGATTGACGCCCTGAAACAGGACATTGAAAGCCTGCGCGGCGATATTACAGCTGCGGCCAGTGGCAACGGAGAAGGCGCCCCAATCAGCCTTAAACCCCTGGAGACCCGGCTTGCGGCTCTGGAAAGTTCAACCGGATCGCAGTCGCAGGTTGACCTGAAGCCGCTCGAGCAGCGCCTCTCCAAACTGGAAGGCGAGGCAACTGCCTCGACAAGCGAAGCAGGCAAGCTTTCCGGATCGCTCACCGGCCTGGAGAGTGAAGTAAGTGCGCTGAAGACGCAGCTCTCCGGCGTTGAAAACCGTGTTCAGAACGCCGAGGCGACTGCCAAGGCGGCCCAGACCGCTGTCTCAACATCCGACGTTTCCCTGAAAACACTTGCCGACAGCCAGGCCCGTGCGACCGAAACGCTGTCGAGCCTTTCCTCCGATATCAATTCGGTCGGCGCCGCAAATTCGGCTGCACTGGAAACCATCCGGGCCGAGCTGGACGCGATTTCAAAACGGCTTCAGCATGTGGAAGGCACAATGGGCGATGCGACCGCGCGCGAAGTCGCCGCTAGAGCATTGTCTGTTTCCGCGCTCAAGTCGGCGGTCGATTCGGGCCGCCCCTACGCGACGGAGCTTGCAGCTGTCAAAGCAGGATTGCCGGCCGATATCGATCTCAAGGCGCTCGAGGCGCATGCGGAGAGCGGCGTCGAACCGGTTTCCGTCCTGATCGCGCAGTTCCCGCCGGTCGCCCGGAAGATCTATCAGACATTTTCCGAGCCGGATCATTCCGACGACGTCCTGAACAGTCTGCTTGCGAGCGCGAAATCCATCGTTGCGGTCAGAGGCCCGGGTGATGAAGATGGCACAGGGCCGGAAGCAGCCTTGCGGCGTATGGAAAATGCTGTTTCCAATGGTAATCTCAAGGGTGCGATTGCAGCCTTTCAGGAGCTTCCGGAAACGGCAAAGGCAGCCGGCAGCGACTGGATTGCCCATGCCGAGGCGAGAGTTGAGGTCGATGGGTTAACAGACAAGGCTTCACAGGAAGTGCTTAGTGCGCTTGCTGGGAAGGACAGTTAAGCGGCAGCCAGTGACAGGTTGTCCGCACAGTTGATTTTTTGAGCCGGAGCGGTCCGGCAACGCTTGGGAGCGAGCTACATGATCCGCGTCCTTTTGTTCTTTTCGCTGCTGTTCGGCCTGGCTGCCGGGTTTGGCTGGGTGGCGGATCTGCCCGGGACAATCTCGGTCAGCTGGGACGGATATGTCTGGGAACAGCCTCCGGTTGTCGCAGCGCTGGTGGTTGGCGCACTGCTTGCGGTCTTCCTGATTGCCGTCTGGATTATCCGGGTGATCCTGAAATCGCCTCAGATCGCCAACCGGTTCTTCAAGCGCCGCCGCCAGGACAAGGGCTACGCGGCCCTGTCGCACGGACTGATCGCACTTGGCACCGGCGATGCAAAACTCGCCCGGCGACATGGTCTGGAGGCAGACCGGTTGTTGTCCGAGGAACCTGCGGCCAAGCTGCTTCTGGCGCAGACGGCCCAGCTTGCCGGCAAGGATGATGAAGCACGGCAGCGGTTCGAATCCATGCTGGACGATCCTGAAACAAAGGCGCTGGGACTGCATGGCCTGTTCGTCGAAGCAGAACGACACAGGGAACCCGTGGCGGCGCGTCACTACGCGGAAGAAGCCGCCAAACCCTCACCGGGCCTGGAGTGGGCCGGGAAAGCTGTGCTTGGCTATCAGGCGGTTGCCCATCACTGGGACGAGGCACTGAAGACGCTGGAGCGCAACTATGCCGCCAAGCTTCTGGACAAGAAAAGCTATCGCCGGGAGCGGGCCGTTATCCTGACGGCGCTTGCGCAGAAGCTCGAGGACGGAGAACCGGAGCGTGCCTTTTCGCTTGCAAAGGAAGCGCATGGATTGGCGCTCGACCTGGTGCCGGCTGCCGTCCTGACGTCCCGCCTTGCAACCCGGCGGGGCGATATCCGCAAGGCTGCCAAGGTGCTGGAAGCAACCTGGCGCTTGTCGCCCAATCCGGAGCTGGCCGAAACCTACGCCCACGTCCGCACCGGCGATTCGGCGGTCGATCGGCTGAAACGCGTGAAGTCCCTTTCCGCACAGCGTACCAACACGCCTGAAGGCGCGATGGCGATCGCACGCGCTGCCATTGAAGCACGTGAATTCGAAGAAGCGCGCACGCAGTTGAAGAAAGTGCTGCAGTCCGAACCGACACGGTCTGCCTTCCTTTTGATGGCAGAAGTGGAAGAAGCCGAGCATGGCGACAAGGGCCGCATGCGTGACTGGCTGGCGCGTGCGCTGAAGGCGCCGCAGGACCAGGCCTGGGTTGCCGACGGAATCGTGTCGGCCGAATGGCAGCCGGTATCTCCGGTGACCGGAAAGCTGGATGCATTCCAGTGGACCAACCCGGGAACTGCCGTGGATGAAGATGGCGACCTTGTCGAAGACAGTTTGTTCGAGGCCCCGGCCTTGCCGGTGGCGGCTCCTGCCGAACCGATGGCAGTGGTCGAACCCGCACAGCAGGATCCCATCGAGGAGACGAAATCCGTCGCGGAGCCTAAAACCGTCGAGTTGGAGGCAGAGCCCCTGAAAAAGGAGGCAGCTCCGGTTGAGACAGCGGTCGCCGAAACCAAACCCGCCAACGCCCCGTCCGTTGCGGTCAACAACGGGAAACAGGGATATGAAGGTACGACCGATGACGTTCACCACAGCCCCGCTTTGAGTGATCTGCCGGACGCGTCGGCGAAGCCAGCTTCTTCTGAACCGGACAAGGAAGATCCGACACCGGCAGCAAAAGCTGCCGAAGAGCCGGATGTGTCCAAAGATACGCAGCAAGACAAACCGGTTTCCGCCACCGGTGTCGACAACGGCACGGGCGATGAGCCCGCCGGTGACAAGGAAGACGCAAAATCCTCTTCGGAGATGTCTGAAGAGGATGCCAAATCCGAAGAAAAGAAAGCCGACGAGGAGAAGGCCGACGGTGAAGACGACAAGAACCGTCCAATCCAGTTTCCGTTGTCGCGCATGCCTGACGATCCGGGAACTGAAGACGATGACAAGGACAGCAAGGCAAAAACGTCTCGTCCCCGGTTCTTCAATTGAACGACAGGCGTCACACCTGAAGCAGGCGGGTTTGCACATCGCTTGCGTTTCGGCAGCCCCCTGACTTCCGTCCTGGCCAGGTGCAAAGCGCGCCTGGGCCAGTCGAGGTCTTGATGTGTCCACCAACGCAGCCACTGCTTTGGAACTGACAGATCCGGATCCGCACTACGCGGCGATT